ACATGTAAGTACCCGTGAAAACTTAAGAATATATATATATATATATTCATAGATTTTCACGGATACAGGTATGTAGGTCTAGGTGTGTTTGGGTCTTTTTCCATGTAAGATTAAGTGTATCCTGGTGACGTTTCGGCGAGGTCCCATTCGCCATCCTCAGGCTGGTGCTTTCGGCTTCATGCTTGTGTGAGCAAAGCGTGATTGGAGCTGCCGTCTCTCTATACATACTGGTGGTGAGGTGTGGTGTGCTGGCTCTGTTGTAAGTGGGCTGGCTGGCTGTGTTGTCATTTCTTGATTGGTTGATAGAGTTGATATTTGCAGATTGGTTGGCTTTTTCATAAGAACCTATGTGGCTGAGGTACTGACTGTGTGTCTATCAACCTCCTGTGTTGTAATGACCAGGGTAAAGGGCTATGTGATGGACTTCTGAGTTCAGGAAAATCTGATGTTCAGGAAAAGACTTGAACATGCCAAGACCTACATACCTCTACCCGTGAAAATCCAATAAAACATACACACACACACACACACACACACACACACACACACACACACTGCCGGGAGGGTGGGATCTCCACATGCAACGGATGAAAAAAATCAGGAATCTGGGCCAAGTAGTCCTCAAATTATGACTACCATTGAGCCCCAAATTTCCCATTGCTGAGCAAGATGGCTGAGTTTTGTCCCATTTTACAACTATTCTTGCAACAAGGATGGAAGTGAAGCACTGCAATTGTGAAGGGAATCTGGCTTCCACCGTTAACCTGGCTGGTCACAAGGTCACAAAAGGGGATCTCGCGAATCCCGAAACCCTGCAACTGTCATAAATATGAAGCAGTTGCCAAGCGTCTGAATCGGGGATACTTGCAATGGTTGTAAGTGTGAAAAACAGTCGTAAGTCACTTCGGGGGTGTTGGGATTTCGAACAGCCACTAAGCGAATGGTTGTAAGTCGAGGACTTTCTGTACAGGTAGCCCTAGACTTACAACAGTTCATTTTGTGACAGTTCAAATGTTACATCTCTTCACAACACCATTGGCTAGTTGGTATTTCTCAACTTTGGTCCTTCTAAGACAGGGGTGTCCAACCTAAGACCTGCAGGCCAGATCCGGTTTATGGAGTGCTTAGATGTGGCCAGTGGAGCCACCTTAGAACCAGCTAAAGATCAGTCCACGGTGCCTTTGCCAGTCAAAATGGCGCTCGGGAAGGCCACACACATCCCTCTCAGGCTCCATTTTCAGCTGCGATGGCCTCCTGCAGCCCTCCGCCAGCAAAAAGGAGCTCCTCCCCGCCTGCAAACTCCGTTTTCATTGGCAGCTACAGGAGGTTGTCATGACCAAAAACGGAGCTGAGGGGACCACGCGCGCCCCTCCCGACTTCCGTTTTTGCTGGCAGAGGGCTATCAAAACAAACTACTAGCAAAGGTGGCGTTTTGATCGCAAGGCAAGGAGGCATTGAGAAATTCCTCTAGAGACAATGTCCCACGCCCTGTCTAGGCCACCACATGTGCCCCGCGACACAAATGACATCGAGCCGGCCATGCCCACCCCACCCCAGCCACGTCCACAACCCTGACCCTGCGAGGTCAAACACAACCCTGATGCAGCCCTCCATGAAATCAAGTTTGACACCCCTGCTCTTCTAAGATGTGTAGACATCAACTCCCAGAATTCCCTAGCCAGCATGCTGGCTGAGATATTCTGGGAATTGAAGTCCATGCATCTTAAAGGGACGAAGGCAGAGGTGATATTCAGCAGGTTCTGACCAGTTCTGGAGAACCGGTAATGGAAATTTTGAGTAGCTCGGAGAACTGGCAAATCCCACCTCTGACGGGCCCCGCCCCCATCTAGTCTCTGCCTCCCGAGTCCCAGCTGATTGGCTGGGTTTTCTTTCATTGCTCTGCACAGGAGAACAGAGCTGGAAAGCAGGTTAGTGGGGTGGGGAGGGAATGGAGATTTTGCAGGAACCTTCCCCTGCCACGCCCACAAAGCCATGCCATGCCCACAAAGTCACACCACGCCCACAGAACCGGTAAAATTTTTGGATCCCACCACTGGACCAAGGTTAAGGAACACGAAAATAGGCCCCAAAAGCTTAATTTTGAAGAAGCTATTTAAAGCACGGCAATGGGTATTGAGAAATTCCTGCCTCTACCCTTAACCTCTTTGAGAATAAAAACCAGCTAAACATTTTAAGCCATAAGCTCTGCAAAGGAAACACCACATATCGGATGCCTTCAGGCCTCCAATTTGGAAAAAGCTGCCAGACATTTGTTAAAGCAGGGATTTAGTACCAAAAAAAGGAAGAATTGTTCCATTTCTTGGAAAATGTTAAACTCCCGCCTCGATAGCTGAGGCTAAAAGTTTAATTCCTGAGGCAAACTTCCGCCAGCAACTTTTTTAGTGGCTGTGTGAGGCTTGAAAGTTAAATTAAGAAGTTAAATAGACTGCATTATGCTTCAGGTTTTTTTTTTTTTTTTAAAGGAAAGAACTTCTCCACTTCTCAAAATTTCTCCCAGAACATTAAATGTATCTGTTGCCCCTGCAGGGGCTTGTGATATCATTGCTATCCTCTTGTGATGCTAGAAGGTTAATCTTGTTTCGTAACCGCTGCTACTGAATACAAAAACAATCCTGCAGCTATTGTGCTTAAAAGTTTCGTGGAACTATTGGGTTTTAAAGTTTCTTGGGTTTTTTTTTTCTCCCCGCAACGAAATAAATCTATCAAAGCAAGGGTTTTGTGGATTGGATGACCTTATCTCTTGCATTGTGACATCTTGATGTCATTTGGGGGTCATCCTGATTAGAAACACATCCTGTTTCCATCCCATGTTTGTTTCCTCAGCTCAAATGCAGCCTGAAACCTTAATCGGTGTTTTTTTTTTTTTTAGTCGATGACGCTAAAGGCAAATTGACTTCGCTTGAATCTCAAGACCTTTTCTCTGATCTGTCTCTGAAGGAATTCTGCAGAATTCCAAAGCTTGCACCCTAAAACTGCAACTTTCTGCAGCCTCCAAGCTCTTGGGCATCACTTCTCCAAGTGGAGAGAGACCTCGCATTCAGAATTCCCTGACACCAGCCAGTTTCTCTCCAAAACTTGCAAGAAATTCCTTCCTCTCTCCATTTTGCTCTCTTGCACTGCTTCGTACGAGACAGCGATACATGTGAGTCAGAACAGGGGAAGGGGAAGAAAAAAGGGAGTGAGAGACGAAGGCACACTGTGCGTTATCAAGGAGGTGCAAATGGCCCGCGAATCCCAAAACCACCGCTTGTTGATAGACATCCAAGAGGCTCTACTCTTTATCTTCACAACTTTGTGAAGCCGCTGCAAAAAAAAATTGTGCTTTTTTTTTTTTCACCCCTCCCAGCCTGGCTGAGCTTCCTTTGCTACTCTCCTGTCCTCCTTCAAAATTCTGCCAAAACTCAAATGTTTCTCAATAAAGGATTTGTTCCAATGCTCCTGCTCCAGAGGCCGCTATCCCATCAGCTCCTCCTGCATTGGGGAGGCGAAGAAAAGAGAATTTGACGCTCCCTGGCTTTTCTTTTATACCACTGTCTCGTTTCCTTTCCCAGGCTTCATCCACCCGTCTGCCCTCTTGGCTCCCCGTTTTACCCTCCCTGAATTCACCAGTCTATTGGAGCACTTTTGCCAAGTGTGCAGCGTCTTGGCCGACCAAATCCACATGCCAGATGTGATGCCCACCAGGAGGGACATGAAAATCTTGAGCATCTCCACAGCCATGTTGGAGGCATCCGCGGAGTAGCGGAAGACCCCCCAGTTGGAGATCTCGTAGAAGTAACAGGCAATGACGCAAGTGGCAGGCACGGTGTAGAGCACGGAAAACACCCCAATCTTCACCATCAACCTCTCCAGCTTGTCTGTTTTGGTCCCGTCCTTTTGGAGGTTGGACCTGATCTTGAACAAAGCCACCAAGCCGGCCGCAATGAAGAGGGTCCCGATGACCAAGTAGGTGAAAAGGGGAGCCACCACAAAGCCCGTCAAGGCGTCAAGGTTTTGGTTGCCTACGTAGCACAGGCCCGTCAGCTCGTCCGCGTCGACCAGCCTCATGATCAGGATGACGATGGTCTTCACCGCGGGGATGGCCCAGGCAGCAATATGGAAATACGAGCTGTGCATCTCGATGGCCTCGTGGCCCCATTTGAGCCCGGCAGCCAGGAACCATGTCAGGGTGAGGATCACCCACCAGATGGAGCTCGCCATGCCGAAAAAGTACATCAGCAGGAAAATGATGGCGCATCCGGTGTTCTTCAGGCCCTCCTGGATGAGAACAGGTTCTACGGCCTCATCGAAGTCACAGGAAATCCTTTCTCGGCCTACGGTCAGCCGGACAATATAAGCGATGCTATAAATATTGTAGCACATGCTCAGGAATATGATAGGCCGCTCCGGATAGGAAAACCGAGTGGAATCGATCAGAAAGGTCAAGACTGTGAAGGCAGTGGAGATGAAACAGAGGCTGGCCCACACAGCCATCCAGATGTCGGTGAAGGCCTTGGCGGACCGGCTGTAGAGGCCCGCGTCGTAGCCGCACTTGAGGACGCAGCTCAAGCTTCTCCGGACCCAGATGTATTGATCGGAGTTCAATCCGACATTCTGGCATTCCTCCCCAGGGTGCAAGGGAGCCTTGCTGTGGAGGGGGATCTCTTCGTCTCCTGGCCCTTCCATGCACATGTGATTGTGGTCATTATGTGGGGGGAATTTGCTGCAGTTCAGGTTTTCTGGCCAGGAGAACCCAAATTCTTTCAGGACCGGCTCGCATCGCCTTTTGACGGACAGGCACATGCCACTGCAGGGGCCGATCGGGATGTTGATTTGCTCGGTGCACATGGGGACGTAGACGGAGCACAGGAAGAACTGGAGGAGGGAGGAAAAAAAGGACAAACTTCAGAAAAGGGTGTGCAAAATTATCTGCTACAATGTCCTACCAGTCAATGACTGCTCCAACTTCAACTACAACAATACAAGAGCGCACAACAGATACAAACTCAATGTAAACCGCTCCAAACTCAATTACAGAAAGTACAACTTCAGCAACAGAGGGGTCAGTGCCTGGAATGCACCACCTGACTCTGTTGTTACATCCTCAAACCCCCAAAACTTTAACCTCAGACTATCCACTATTGACCTCACCCCATTCCTATGAGGTCTGTAAGGGGGCATGCATAAGTGCACCATCGTGCCTCCCGTCCCTGTCCTATTGTCCCCATTTAATTGTCCCTATTTTCTGTATTTTTATTCATGTTTATACTTATACCTATTATCTTGTAAGCGATTGACAAATCAAATAAATCAAATAAATAAATAAAATCTTCTCAATGTTTGGCATTCTGGACTTATCTGTGTTTCCCTACTTTGGCTACTTTAACAAGTGTGGACTTCAACAAGCGTGGACATGGCTGATGGAGAATTCTGTGGATCGAAGGCCATACAAATGTAAGTCAAGGGTTACCTGTACAGAAATCAACAACCAGGGACAAAAGCCCATCCTTTGTCTTCCTTAACATAGGTGGGGGGTTTTGTGTACAAAACCAGATCCAACAAAGCTAAACCGAAATCTCCAATCCAAATATGGAGGTGACTCCAACTGGTGTAGTGGACTCGCCCATGTATTTTTCTTGGCAACAGTGATTGGCTATTACTGGAACGTCTTTTCAGGTTCCCACCTGGAGAGCCAGTTTGGTCTAGTGGTTAAGGCACCAGGCTAGAAAGCAGCAGACTGTGAGTTCGAGTCCCACCTTAGCCAGTTGGGTGAATCTGGGCCAATCATCAGGAGATGGTGGTTTCTAGTCCTGCCTTAGGCTTGAAAGCCAGTGAATCTGAGCCAATCACCAGGAGATGGTGGTTTCTAGTCCTGCCTTAGGCTTGAAAG